CCCCCCCCCCCCCCCCCCCCAACTATACATGCTAGCTACGGCCCTGTATTAAGCACTTATTAATTGCCACGACTTTTTACAAAGACTAATTAGTTTTTCACGCAGAAAGACGCCTTGCAGTTTTGTTACCTTTTCATCGGCACACAAATCTATCAGTTATATGGAACGTACTCGAATTTCAGGTACTGTCAAAGCGATACATCCGTTTATGTAAAGGCTATAATAACTGAATTTTTTAATTACAGTAATAATAATAATAATAATTTATTCAAACAAAGTCCCAATATTAGTGGGACATAGAATACATGGGTAAATAACTAAATAAGTCGTTACGGTCTATAAGAATAACATAGATATTAATATATATGAAAAAAGTTGATAAATGTATAAATACACATACATGCACGCACACGTGAGTAATTAGACCAGACTATCAAAAGCAGCCAAAACGTCGAAACAATATTTGCCTACTAACTTCATTATTGACTTATCCATCATAGCCATAATATATATAAATAGGTTTTCCGAAGTAAATAAGTTGAAAAACCTATTCATTTTATATAAATTATTAATGAATTTTGTCCTGAGGTCGATGAACTTCATGTTTGTACAAGACATTAAAAAGTGATGTTCATCTCCTACTTCATTTAACTCACAAAGTCTGCATAGTTTATCATTGTATGGGACATTGTTGTATCTACCAGTTTCAACAATTAGCTTATGTGCTGATATTCTTAACTTTGTAACAGCTTGACAATATTTGAAATTACTAATTTCGTTTAAGTATTTTTCACATTCAAAGTGTTTTTTTATTTTTCTAAAAGTTCTTAGCTTGCCAGTATTTTCGACAGGTTGAAACTGCTCTGCCCAATACAATATAAACGCTTCTTTAAATTTATGTTTCGCGTGATGGCAAACATTTCCTTTTTCTGTTTCAGATAATTCCGTCTGCAAGTTGGATAATTCAGTTTGTGAATCGCAAATTTCTCCCCCACATAGTTGCAGTGCATATTTGATAAAAATTGTTGACTTTAGGTTAAGTTCCATGCATACATTCGCTGCTTTTCCAACAAGCGTGTTTGAGAACAATGAACTTTTTATTCGAAACCAATATTTTACAACCAGCTTAGCTATTTGAACGATCAAAGGCGTTCTTCCTAGCTCAGCATAAATAGCCATGTTTGTTGATTTTGAATGAACTCCTAATACTCTTTTGCAGAATTTTAGATGAAGTTTTTCAATTGCACTATTGATTTGGAAAATTTTTTTCTTGAACATTTCGAAAGAGTTTATTCTACCCAATAAATGCGGACCCCACACTTCGCAACCGTATAATAAGATTGGGGTAACTATCGAAGAAAATAGTTTTAACATTAGTTTTATTGGAACATTTTCGACATTTAAGAAACTTTTAAATATACTATGATAGGGATGTAATGCTTTTCCGTAGATTATCTTTTGTGCTCGCTTGAAAGTACAAGAAAAGTGAAGAGTAATACCCCGATAACAATATTCATCAACTTGTTCCAAAATATTTTTGCCGAATGTCCTGATTGATGTAGAATGCCTACGTTTTTGGGTTGGTGTTCCAAATACTAGAACTTTGGATTTTTTAAGATTAATGTTTAACTTCCACTTTTTGGTATAGTAAACATGTTTTGTGAAGCAATTTTGTAACCCTGCCCTGGATTCGGATAATAAGACTAGGTCGTCTGCGTAAAGCAAACAGCCTAGATTTGTACATTTAATTTTACTGGAGTGCATGACCTGTCAAATATATCAGGTAGATCATTAATGAATAGGTTGAATAAAGTAGGACTTAAGTTACAACCCTGTTTGACCCCTACATGCAACCTTAAGAAAGTTGTATACCCCTCTTCCAATTTTACCGAACAGTTATAGGAGGAATACATGCTTAACATTAAACGTATGAATCTCTTGCTGCAACCATTCAAGATCAATTTGAAGAAAAGACCCTCCCTCCATACACTATCGTAAGCTTTTTTGAAGTCAATAAAACAAGCAAAGATTGGTTTACGTTTTGATTTGTAATAATCTATTAGAGTTTTCAAAACTAATAGATGGTCGGCTGTCCTATAATTTTTTCTAAATCCGATTTGGCAATTACTCATAATGTTGTTTTCGTCTAGATATTTATTTAGTCGTTCATTCATGATTAATGTGAAAAATTTCCCAAACAACTGCTTATGCATATTCCTCTATAATTATTCGGGTCGATATTACTTCCTGATTTATAAATGGGGACTATGAAACCTTTAGACCAAAGTGATGGGAAGTGTCCATTGGACAAGATTTTATTAAACAGTTTTTCAAAGTAGGATGGTAGAACCTCAACTGCTAGTTTAATGATTACATGTGGTTTGTATATAATTTGAATTTGCAATTCTGTGGCAGCTGCTGCAAGGAGCCCAAGGATTTTTTCTGTCCTTTGATACAAGATAAAAAAGGTCGTATGGCGAAATAACATATGATGATACATGCATGTGTCGGCAAAATATAAATACTTCCTATCTTACACGTTCACCATAATCCATGACAACATATCAGTATATCAGTAGTGTTATATAACTGTCACTTCGTTTCCTATGCCAAACTTATATGCAAATTATGATCGTAATTGTATAACATCTCATCTTACATCGCGTCAAAATTGGTAAAAACTAATCCTTGGTCATTGGTCATTGCCAACGCCGTCGCTACTATTAAACTGCTCAGTTTCTCAGTGCTGCTGTTACCAAGAAGAAATGAATTAAAAATGTTTCAATACAAACTCTCCAGTTTTGACTGCCAGTGCAGTTTTCCTCAAGTTCTTCCACAGTCGAAAGCTTGTGTTCAAATCCAACATTTTTAAATCTTTTCAACGTATTTTTAACGTAAGCCAAAGTCACTACGCACGACAAATATGTTTCATAATTGCTGCGGAGCGAGCGAGCCTGAAGCGAGCGAGCGTAGCAGCAACCTAATATATGCAGAGAGGGGGTTTTGAACTAAATTTTATTTAGCGCATGGAATTGTGGTCGTGCGCGCTTTCTATGCGCAGAACACAAATTTTAAACTCGCTCGAGGACTCTTCAATTTTTATCGAATTTCTAATGCTTTTTCAAGTCTAATGTTACGCTTACATTTGTTTTGGACTTTGGCCACTGTCAGTTCTATATTTTTATAAAGTTTTTGGTTTCTTAGCGTGATAAATCTGTGTATATAGTGTGTATAATGTGGTAAATGCGCCTAGCAGTAAACAGACTTGATATGAAATCTGACCTTAATGAGACGCACATGTTTAATATCTGTCACCTCTGATTGCCCTTTAACCCCTGGTCTTTGCCACTTCAATATAGCCTATGTTGCTTCTTCTCAGTCCCATTCACAGCTCACTAGTCGCCGCAAGTAATCATGAATGAATCATTTATTTCTTCAAGTTTGTGGCAACCGAAGAGAAACGGGCGATCCGTGCAGCTTCGAAATTCAACACGAAGCTATATTACTCTGTTGATCTTGGTATGTGGCGACGTTGAATCTTGCCCTGGACCTACATCAGCTCAAATCGGTGGTGGCGAGAGAGTTATCGATGAACTTATGTCATTGCTTAAGGTAAAAGGCTTAAAGATTTTGCACCAAAATACCAGAGGGCTATCGTCTAACTTTGCGTATATCTCAGAGTTATTTCAAAGCTTCAAAGGAATTGACATCCTGACTTTAAGTAAAACGCATATTGATGAGCAAGACGGATTCGAACCTGACTCATATTACGATATTCCCGGGTATTCATTTATTAGTCGACCAAGAAAATCTGGGAAAGGGGGTGGTGTTGGTGCCTACATATCGGATGGACTTATTTGGGATCGTAGACTAGATTTAGAAAACGAAAAAATTGAAGTTGTTTGGTTTGAAATACGCCCTAAAAGTTCGAAAGGTATTTTGATTGCGTCTGTCTACCGCCCTCCTGATTCATCCAAGCACCTAAACAAAGACTTTAATGAACTGTTTAATAGCATGCTAACAAAAGCTATGAGTGAATCAAAGGAAACCATACTCCTCGGGGACATGAATGCAAATTTTCTTGACAATAAAGACAATAAAGATCTTAAGTCAATATTTAATGTGCATGGCCTCAAACAAATGATTAGGCAGCCCACAAGAATCGCAGAAGGCATTGAATCGTTAATCAATATCATTTTAACAAACAAACCTGTGAACTTAGTACAATCTGAAGTCATTCCTACAAGCATTGGAGATCACGAAATGATAGGTTGTGCACGAAAGTTAAATTCAAACCACTACAATGCCAGGCTGATATCCTGTCGCGACTATAAAAACTACAATCCAGAATTGTTGAAAACTGATTTACGGAAAATTAATTGGATGCCGTTTTACAACGAATCAAATGTTAATGACGCTTGGTTGTTACTAAAGTCTACTTTAACTAATTTATACAACCGTCATGCTCCAATCATTAAGAAGAATGTAAGGGGAAAGCCTGCCCCATGGCTAAATGAGGATATAAAATCTATTATGAATGAGCGAGACCAACTGCTGAGAAAATCGAGGCGAACCAGAAGTATCGCGCACTCTTTAGCGTACAAGCAAAAGCGTAACGAGACGAACATTGCAATTAGGAGAGCAAAATCGTCTTATTATAAAAATTTGCTAAGCGAAAATTCTGAAAATCCTAGCAAATTTTGGAAAGTGCTTAAGTCTATTTTTCCCTGTAAGAATTTTAAGAAGCACAATTCACAATCTTTCGACATCGACGGTGAAGTTAAATCCTGTAACCCCTCGACAATCGCAAATGCGTTCGGTGAGTTTTTTGCAGGAACTGTCAAAACGTTAAAGGAAAAGGCTTTTCCTTTATGCGATTTTGCCTGGAGAACGCCCGCGAGTATGTCAGTTAGAACCGACCTGAAATTCAAATTCCAACCGGTCTCGAAATTCGAAGTTGAACGAAAGCTAAAATCAATTAAACGCAGCAAAGCAACGGGTCTCGATGATTTACCTCCAGGGTTACTGAAAGACTCTGCTGAGTTGCCATAGCTGCTCCCTTGACGCACTTGGTTAACCTCTCACTAGCAACAAACATTTTCCCAGCTGATTGGAAAAATGCCAAGATCATACCAATATATAAGTCTGGAGCACATTCAAACCTAGATAACTATCGACCAATATCGATACTACCGGTCCTGTCTAAAATCATTGAAAAGATAGTCCACCGTCAACTAATGTCATTTTTGGACAAAAATTCTCTCTTGTCTGAGTTTTAGTTTGGCTTCCGCCGTGGCCTTTCGACTGAGCTTGCAACAACCTTATTATTGGATGATATACGTAGAGAAGTTGATTCGGGGAAACTAGTTGGTGCCGTATTTATTGACTTGAGTAAGGCTTTTGACACAATCAGCCACGCAAAGTTACTAGATAAACTTTCTCGATATGGAATAAATGACGGTGAGCTTGAATGGTTTAAAGACTACCTTTTCTCCCGTAAAGCGGTAGTAAGCTACAATAACTGCTTATCTGAGGTACACGAAATCTATTCTGGTGTTCCGCAGGGATCGATATTGGGACCATCGCTGTTCTTGGTTTTCTTCAATGATATAACAGATGTGGTAAACCATTCCAAAGTCATTAACTATGCTGACGACACTGTTTTGTACGTTGCAGACAAGCAGACCCAATCAATTCAAGCAAAATTAGATAAAGACATGGATTCGATTGCTGGCTGGTTGAAAGAAAACGAACTGATAATCAACCTAAAGAAGGGCAAAACGGAATCCCTTCTATTTGGAACTGCCAAACGAAGAAGCATGCAAACTGAGCCACTCGAGGTCTCCGTACCATGCTCCACGCGGACTACAATAACGAATACATCTGATTATAAATATCTTGGCGTGCATGTGGACGGATCACTGAGTTTGAGTTCTCAGTTTGAAAAAAGTCTCAAGAAAGCATCAGGGCGGTTGAGGCTCTTGTTTAAGATAAGAGATCTTCTCGATTTACCTTCGGCCAAAGCCATTTATCGCACGATGATCATGCCCATACTTACGTATTGTGGCGTACTGCAATTAAACCTAGGTCGAACGCAGCTGGCCAGACTTCTATCATTCCACGACCGTTCTGTGTCCACTGTGTTCAAAGGGGAACAGGCGGGTGAACAACATCTTATATCTGCTGTAAATGCCAACAAATTAAGAGCATGCAAACTGGTGCGCAAATGCATTGATAATGACATTTGTGATATTTTTAAAACTTACTTCACAATGCAGCAACATGGCAGAGAAACAAGAAACAATAACAATATGATAAAGCTACCAGCGATTAAAACTGAGTATGCTCGTAAATCTTTCTATTTTATGGGAGCTAAGATTTATAACGACCTACCTATAGAATTAAGAAAGATTGAGAACAATCCGGATTTTGAGAATAAGGTTACGGAACATTTTAATGAATTATAAACGGTTTTAAATATGGTATATAAGAATTAGTTCTTAATGTACATATACGGTAGTTTTTAGAGTTTTTTTAGAGTTTTTAATAGTTAGTTCTTTTTAGACTTTTTAGGATAACAGGACACACATTGATAACAGCTTTTTTAGTTGAAGTGTATTATCCTGTATAAATATTCGTATTAAACTTAAACTTAAACTGTGCTTGATATAATCTGTGCTGTTTACTGTAGTTCTATTTGCTTTTAATGCCCGCAGCAATCCCTACCTTGCAGCTACCCTAGTTACATATCAATACTGCATGGAACGCCGAAAATGTTTAATCCTAGTCGGATAGAATTTCACGGCGGCCTCATGTTTCATGCTGTTGTGTTTATAAATTTAAACTGATAACCTTTGCCCAATATTTTCTGTAGCTGTACTCACATGGTAATTCTTATTCTCTACATTTACACTAAAAATACAAGTAGAAAAATAAAAACTTAACAAGAACGCAAAAATGAATGAAAACAAGAATGATTACATATTTCAATATGCTAGCAGTCACTATTCACTAACTGCTCCGGCGATATGCCCGCACGAATCAATCACTTGCTCATTTGAATCCTGCTTTCGCGTCTATGACTATAACATCTTTAAAATTTTTCAAAGTATTTTAAGCCAAAGTCAGTACGCGCAAACGAATTTAAAGTGCAAACGAAAATCTTTAATACTAGTCGGATAGAATTGCGTGGCTTTTGACATATATTACAGTAAAATGTAGTAAACGGCCAAGCAGCAGAACGTTTTACTACTAATAACCTTTGCCCAAACCTCAAATATACATGTGTGTGGCAATAATAGTCACACGGAAATTTTAATTATCTAGATTTACACACTTTAACAAGAACGCAAAAATACATAGTTGAGTGGAATTTTCAAGCAGTTAGCTTTGTATAAAGTGATATAACAAAGTCAGGAAAAATTTGCCAGTGGATGGTTAGCTATAAACGTAAGTTAAAACTACAATTGTCTCGAACATTTTTATGTATATTATTAACACGGAACAGGATGGTTTCTCGTAAACTTTGGATAAAACAAGCAGCCGTGAGTTTTTCAAAGACTTCAAATAGCTTTGATGCTTTTTGAGAGGGATGTTTTAAAAACCGCTTTAATTAACAAAATCTCTATCTGAAACCTATGCTAACAACGAAATCCCTGAAAAAAATCATTTTGACAAGGTCACGGCTAATGTTTCTAGTAAGGATGATAATTGCAGTGTTATTGTTTCTCATGTCAACATAGTGAACAATCAACAATCCGCTAGTGCGTCTCAGCGAGATAATTGTAACGTTGCAAGTTCTTTGTACGTTTGCATGGCGATAAAACATATAATAGTATTGTTTGTGGAAACACCGCGTAAATTTATTACTGCAAAGCTTTCTATTCGTAAGCCCGGATCTTCACCAGTGCTAATAATATCAGTGACTTGTTCAATTTTTGTATATAAAAATGGCGCGTGAATTGAACAATCACATATTATTAGCACTGATGAAGATCCGGGCTTACGGATCGAAAGCTTTGTATCACTAGAGTAGAGATAAAATGCATGCAAACACTAGGATGAGCTCGAATATCCAAACTTTGGGTCAACACTAGATCAAACAGACTACCAAGAGGTGTGACTTGCGTCATTCTTGCTTGTGTTTATCATCCTCTATCTTCAAACGGCCATGAAATTCTTGAATATCTTTTCGAATCCTTGACGAAGGTCGAGGGTCTACATCCTGGTCGGCCATTATCACCGCGGGTGATTTCAATAAGCTGGATTTCAAGATCTTGAAGTGCAATTTTTAACTAAAGCAACTGGTTCGCAGTCCAAAACGTGGATCGAACATATTGGACATAGTACTTACTAATCTGCATAAATTCTCCCCCTCTTCGGGCCGTCAGATCACAACACAATTACCATCTGCCCGAAGCAGAGAGCGAGATCTTCCCAGTCGACGAACTGTCCTAAAAAGAGACACTCCACCGTCTCGTAAAATGGAGCTTGGCCGTTATTCTAGTGGAATGGATTGGAGTTCGTTTGAAGATCTAGACACTTGTGATGAAAAATGTGAAATATTTTCCAGCGGGGTCAACTTTATTATACCGGAAAGGAAAGTTAAAATTCACACTAATGATGCACCATTGGTTACTGAAGATTTTAAACGATTGATAATGTTGCGCCAACGCGCCTTTTCGTGACAGAAAAATACAGGTGTTTAAATTCTACCGCAATAAAGTGAATAGAGAGAGGAAATTGTTACGAGAAAAAATCTTTGCTACGAAGGTCAGTACACTCAAAAAAATCAAAACCCAATACATGGTGCATGCATGGTCTGACATCAAACGTATCAGCGGAATGAAAACCTGCAATAGCGATCTTCAATCGCAACTTCAAATAGAAAACATTGATCACCTATGGTGGAAAGAACTTGCCAATTTAATTAACAGCATCTTTCTGGAATTTATAAGCACATACCACCCATTGCATGATGACGATCTATCCAACTTACATCAAGACATTCCCACCGACCCTCCATCTGTAGTTAAAACGATGACTTCTCCGGCATCAGTGTTAACAAAGATGAAGAACCTGAACGCGTCCAAAGCACCAGGACCTGATGGTATTCCAAACTGGATTTTAAAAACATATGGGAAGATCCTAGCATCCCCAATATCCAACTTGTTGAATACATCTTACCAGGAAGAAAAACGTCCTGGAAAACTGCAAACATCACTCCTATCCCAAAAGAAAAACTTGCGCGTGAAATTAATCACATCTTGGGTCAATTTCTCTTACTTCAGCAGTATCTAAATCGGCAGAGGAATTCATAGTCGAGAAATACTTCGCCCCATCTGTTTTGCTATAACTGATCCAGCACAATTTTCGAGTTAAATTATTTTAAAGATGAAATATCTGCCATATATTCGTTACAAATATTCGTTACATATATCCGTTCTTACAAAATTTGACGTCTTCGACAGGTATAGGCTTAGTTCGGTGTCTATTAAGGGAGGTCCAGTAGACATCTGGTCCGTCTTCGATTATGAATGAATGAATGAATGAATGAATGAATGAATGAACGAATGAATGAATGAATGAATGAATGAATCATTTGCCACACACATGTTATTAAAATTTACATAAATTAGGAGAATATAAATAAAGTGGCGAGGAGACCTCATGAAACCATCAGGCTTATTTTGAGATCACCTCAAGATATTTTAATATAACTGAATAATGCTTATATAGAAAATATAAGGATATAGAAAATAAAAGATATTTAACTCACAGCTGTAGTGCATTTGTGCGGCACAAACGAATTAAGTAGGAATTCCATCATAGTTTTCTTAAAACTATAGAGGCTAAGTGAATCTTTTATATTTGTTGGCAGAGAATTCCAAATTTTTGGTTCTTGATAAAGTATTGTAAATTTTTGAGGTTTGTACGACAAGTGTGGGTGCGACAGTTCATTGCTGATCTAGTGTTGTAATTATGAATTTGATTATTGCGTGCAAATAAGTGATATGCGGTTGGAGGAGGAGTAAGGTTACCTACTTTTTTTCTTGTGACTGTAGGGGCGGGCTCGAAAATCCAGTGAGTACTGACTGGATCAGATTAGCCTGCTCACAGACGTTGTTATTCTTACGCCAAGCGACCAATTACTACCGTCTGCTTACCCGAGCTGCATATTCAATTCCCTTTGTTTTAGGAGCCAATCATCTGGCAGTGTTCAAAAGAGTTAGAACCAATTGGAAGCCGCCTTATTGAGAGATTAACTAATGGGGAAAGCCCTTGCACATGCATTGGAATATATTGTTTGCGTTGAACTGAAATTTGTTTACTTGCGTGGATATATTTTGGAAACTTTAGCGTTGAACTTCAAGATGTTTATGTAGAATAATATTGTGATCATCTTCTCGCATGTTCAGCAAACAATTGGTGTATATAAAGTGCTAAAGCAATGCAGTAGGCGAAATTTAAATTTTTGTTATCAATGTCAATGACAAACAATCAATCGGGAAACTCGAGTATATCAGGATATGTCCAAATGTTGCTCTTGATACTTCTTATATGCCATGACTTCGACGAAAACTTCTAAAAGATTAAGCTCTCATTGTCATGTAGAAAAGTATAGCCAAGTTAGATTATAAACGTTTCAAAGTTTGGGCGAATTGGAAAATTCATCACGGCGCAATTTTAATACAAATTTCTCGGGTTTGCGTTGTGTTAATTTACTGTTTACATTCAGAAGTGGTTGTTCAAACAGCAAATTAGTATACTTTGAAGCTAATATTTCGCTTTCTAAGCCACAGTATTATATAAAATTTTCTGCCTTCCGAGTTCTGTTGTCTAATAAAGATAAACATCCGTAAAATGTTCAAAGTTTCAGCAAAATATATTCGGCATTTGATGCTGTCTCGCCTGTCTGGCTTCGTACAGTATATTAACTAGAAAATACATGTATGCAGAAACCCTCGCCTTGCTGACAAAACCATTGTATTTTCCGAACATGAAGTATCAAAAGTAGTTGTCATGGTAACACGATAACTTTTAAGAATATTCTAACAAATGAAAAATCGCTTAAAAATATCACTTTTAATTACAAAATTATCAATTTCCCAACATATATATGTTGGGTATGTTATTATACGTATAATATAAGCTTCATTTAAGGTAAACTTCAACCACAAACGCTTCGCAAAACGTTTTAAAGTGTTCTTTATAAAACCATGGATAATAAAATAAATTTATTTTATTATCCATGATAAAACTAAACTGCCTTTAATTAAATGGCTTTATCGATAAACTTTCAGCTTGCAAATAACTTTGGTTTCTTTTTTATTTAAAAAATTCAATATAATAAAAAAGGGAATCAATATTAAAGATACACTGAAATTATATGCTGTCTAGTAATAGTTGTCTCATATACGCAAAGGCCGTCGAATTTTAAATCCATTATAAAATCAATATTTAAAGC